GTTTGACTGGTGGAGGACATTCTTGGCGGAGTTTGACTGGTGGAGATCATTCTTGGCGGAGTTTGACTGGTGGAGGACATTCTTGGCGGAGTTTGACTGGTGGAGATCATTCTTGGCGGAGTTTGACTGGTGGAGGACATTCTTGGCGGAGTTTGACTGGTGGAGATCATTCTTGGCGGAGTTTGACTGGTGGAGATCATTCTTGGTGGAGTTTGACTGGCGGAAGACATTCTTGGCGGAGTTTGACTGGCGGAAGACATTCTTGGCGGGGTTTGACTGGCGGAAGACATTCTTGGCGGAGTTTGACTGGCGGAAGACATTCTTGGCGGGGTTTGACTGGTGGAGGACATTCTTGGTGGAGTTTGACTGGTGGAGATCATTCTTGGTGGAGTGTGACTGGTGGTCATTCTTGGCGGAGTTTGACTGGAGATCATTCTTGGCGGAGTTTGACTGGTGGAGGACATTCTTGGCGGAGTTTGACTGGTGGAGGACATTCTTGGCGGAGTTTGACTGGTGGAGGACATTCTTGGCGGGGTTTGACTGGTGGAGGACATTCTTGGTGGAGTTTGACTGGTGGAGGACATTCTTGGTGGAGTTTGACTGGTGGAGGACATTCTTGGCGGAGTTTGACTGGTGGAGGACATTCTTGGCGGAGTTTGACTGGTGGAGGACATTCTTGGTGGAGTTTGACTGGTGGAGGACATTCTTGGTGGAGTTTGACTGGTGGTCATTCTTGGCGGAGTTTGACTGGAGATCATTCTTGGCGGAGTTTGACTGGTGGAGGACATTCTTGGCGGAGTTTGACTGGTGGAGGACATTCTTGGCGGAGTTTGACTGGTGGAGGACATTCTTGGCGGAGTTTGACTGGTGGAGGACATTCTTGGCGGAGTGTGACTGGTGGAGGACATTCTTGGCGGAGTTTGACTGGCGGAAGACATTCTTGGCGGGGTTTGACTGGTAGAGATCATTCTTGGCGGAGTTTGACTGGTGGAGGACATTCTTGGCGGAGTTTGACTGGTGGAGATCATTCTTGGCGGAGTTTGACTGGTGGAGATCATTCTTGGTGGAGTTTGACTGGTAGAGATCATTCTTGACGGAGTTTGACTGGTGGAGGACATTCTTGGCGGAGTTTGACTGGTGGAGATCATTCTTGGTATAGTTTGACTGGTAGAGATCATTCTTGACGGAGTTTGACTGGATATTGACCCCTGAGCGCTGGGATCTCTCTAACAATTGTATATTGAGAGAGTATATATCTCGGAGAGGCTGCAGGACCCGTGGTATATCGGGTGATTTCCCGGTTGCAATTCTTTTTACCATTGCGTTTCGGGGCTTAGCGTTCCCGCGGCCCGGTCGTCGACCAGGCCCACCTTGTATACATTTTTATTCAATTTGTTGTCTTGTTCAATGTAAGTGTAATGTTTAGTGATTGTGTTCAGTTATTGACGTAGAGGGAGAGACAGAGACAGTGAGAGAGACAGAGACAGTGAGAGAGACAGAGACAGTGAGAGAGACAGAGAGAGATAGAGAGAGAGAGAGACAGAGAGAGACAGAGAGAGACAGTGAGAGAGACAGAGAGACAGAGAGAGAGAGACAGAGAGAGACAGAGAGAGAGAGAGACAGAGAGAGACAGAGAGAGACAGAGAGAGAGACAGAGAGAGAGAGAGAGACAGACTGACTGACTGACTTCAAAATATAAAAACCAGAAATGAATATCACATTCATCACTGATCTTAAACTCATATTCCTTCACCATCTTTGACTAACACTCCGCTAGTTAGTGACTAACTACATCCCTTAACCATTAGTCCTCTTATCTCTTACCTTTTATCTATCCCCCCCCCCTTACCATCTCCCTCCTTCTCCCCCCATAATGGGGCTCCATTACCCCCTCCCTAAGCCTCCATTATCTTCACATTGTCAGACTAAGACCCAAGTGTAATTAATTATTCTAGTTCATGTCATTACAATTTCCAGAGGAAAAGAATTTCTGGAAATGAAAGTTCACAATACCTGGTGATTATTGATGTATCTGACATGGCTCCCACAGGCTCCCACAGTGGGGCTGGGACTGACAGATGTCACAGCTTGAGTTGACGTCCTTTTGACGTCATGGGGATGTCTATATCAACTTGTGTGTCTGTGTTGATCAATAATGATTATTGATCAATGTGTCGCTATGTTGTGCAGTTCTGTTTCTGTGGTTATATTATAATCAGGGTAAATTGACCTTCGACAACCCGCCGGCTTTCTGTCCTCGTGGACAGTGTGTGTGTGTGTGTGTGTGTGTGTGTGTGTGTGTGTGTGTGTGTGTGTGTGTGTGTGTATTCACCTAGTTGTACTCACCTAGTTGTGCTTGCGGGGGTTGAGTTTTGGCTCTTTGGTCCCGCCTCTCAACTGTCAATCAACTGGTGTACAGGTTCCTGAGCCTATTGGGCTCTGTCATATCTACACTTGAAACTGTGTATGGCGTCAGCCTCCACCACATCACTTCCTAATGCATTCCATTTGTCAACCACTCTGACACTAAAAAAGTTCTTTCTAATATCTCTGTGGCTCATTTGGGCACTCAGTTTCCACCTGTGTCCCCTTGTGTGTGTGTGTGTGTGTGGGTGTGTGTGTGTGTGTGTGTGTGTGTGTGTGTGGTGTGTGTGTGTGTGTGTGTGTGTGTGTGTGTGTGTGTGTGTGTGTAATTACCTAAGTGTAGTTACAGGATGAGAGCTACGCTCGTGGTGTCCCGTCTTCCCAGCACTCTTTGTCATATAACGCTTTGAAATTTGTGTGCGTGTGTGTGTGTGTGTGTGTGTGTGTGTGTGTGTGTGTGTAATTACCTAAGTGTAGTTATAGGATGAGAGCTACGCTCGTGGTGTCCCGTCTTCCCAGCACTCTTTGTCATATAACGCTTTGAAATTTGTGTGTGTGTGTGTGTGCGTGTGTGTGCGTGTGTGTGTGTGTGTGTTCGTTGGGGGAAGGGAATTCGCGTTTTAATATATATATAAAACATCGCTACAACATCATTCAAAAAATCACCCCCAACATATCGTGCCCAAAAGGTTAAGGCAAGGAGAGGGGAGTCTTACGGGGAAATTGTTTAATTACCTCGTTACACCGAGGCACCTCGTTAGGGGCCTCGTAGCCTGGTGGATAGCGCGCAGGACTCGTAATTCTGTGGCGCGGGTTCGATTCCCGCACGAGGCAGAAACAAATGGGCAAAGTTTCTTTCACCCTAAGTGCCCCTGTTACCTAGCAGTAAATAGGTACCTGGGAGTTAGTCAGCTGTCAAGGGCTGCTTCCTGGGGTGTGTGTGTGTGGTGTGGGAAAAAAAAAAAAAAAAAAAAAAAAAAGTAGTTAGTAAACAGTTGATTGACAGTTGAGAGGCGGGCCGAAAGAGCAAAGCTCAACCCCCGCAAGCACACAACTAGTAAACACAACCATTAAACACAACTAGTAAACACAACTAGTAAACACAACTAGTAAACACAACTAGTAAACACCCCCCCCCCAGGGGAGGGGGGTAAGATGTTGATTAATTACCTTGTTAGACTCCGAGGAGGGGGGGAGGGGAGGGGGGTAGATCTCCATATCTGTGATTTTCCACATTATCTATGTTTCTTGTGGCTGAGTAGTCTACATCCTGGGCACGCAACTGTGAGACACCAGAGTTTAATCCCCCGGACGGGGATTACGATTGGGCTCGTTTACTTTGACCTAATGCCTCTGTTCACCTAGCAGTAAGATAGGTATCTTCGACGTTAGGTAAGAGTTTTGGGTAGCATGCTGAGGTGGTCATTAGGCCTAGACAAAGGCTTAATTCCTGACCCTTAGAAAGGGGTATTGTTTATATAAGGTAATTAGAGGAGTGATTACTTATATAATTGATTATCTAAGTAATTACTGATCAATTAGATAATTGATTTGTGTAAAAGATTGGTCATATAATTTTCTGACATTAATTCAAATTATTTTAAATATGCAAAATTGGGTTGTTATTTGTCAGCCTAAGAGATCTCACTCTGTCACTCACACACTCACACTCAAACGCACTCACTCACACTCATTCACACCCACAACCTCTCATTCATTCCTGCCTGTATGTATCCATATATATACAAATATGTGTGTATGTAACGGGGTCATTATGACTTTAAGATAATATTGTGTTTGATGAATATGATGACAATGTATTTGTTACTATTCATTTATCAGCCAAAGTGTCGGTCAATATATCCCCAATCAGTCAAACTATTATGACTCGCAAGTCAGTGACCGGCTCATCAATCACTCGGTTTTGAGTGATTGACCAGTAGCCAAGAATCAATGTTTGTCACTCACTCACCCAACCAGTCACTGGGTCTGTCACTCACCCAACCAGTCATTGGGTCTGTCACTCACCCAACCAGTCATTGGGTCTGTCACTCACCCAACCAGTCATTGGGTCTGTCACTCACCCAACCAGTCACTGGGTCTGTCACTCACCCAACCAGTCATTGGGTCTGTCACTCACCCAACCAGTCATTGGGTCTGTCACTCACCCAACCAGTCATTGGGTCTGTCACTCACCCAACCAGTCACTGGGTCTGTCACTCACCCAACCAGTCATTGGGTCTGTCACTCACCCAACCAGTCATTGGGTCTGTCACTCACCCAACCAGTCACTGGGTCTGTCACTCACCCAACCAGTCATTGGGTCTGTCACTCACCCAACAAGTCACTCAGACTGTCACCCATACACCCAATGCAGGCGAGGAATCACAATAACGTGGCTGAAATATATTAACCAAACCACACACTAGAAAGCGAAGGGACGACGACGTTTCGGTCCGTCCTGGACCATTCTCAAGTCGATTGTCAATCGCGAACTTCGACACAATCGACTTAAGAATGGTCCAGGACGGAGCGAAACGTCGTCGTCCCTTCACCTTGTAGTGTGTGGTCTGGTTCCATACACCTAAGGTGTGGAGTACTGGAGTAACTAACACTTGTGTGTTTACACCCCACAGGGTCCGGGTCGAGTACTACGTCAATGAGAACACCTTTAAGGAGAGACTACACCTGTACTTCGTGAAGAACCAGCGCTCAAGTGAGTTCCTTTCTTTCTGGGGGACTGGGGCTGTGTGTGTGTGTGTCTACGCGTGTGTGTGTGTGTGTAATAAATCACAATGACGTGATACACAAAAGAAAATCATTTTGAGGCCATGGGGGTGACTCGAACACGCGTTCGGGTGATAGACACCTGCCCAAACCTTCTCTGCCATGATGGTACAAAAGTCTACCAACACGGAACTCTACTGAATTCACCAGGAAGGTCTGGAGACCTCAAACCGGAGCTCAACCAGGGTTTTACAGGGTCGATGGTTAGGAAGACGGAGTCCAAGAGCTAATAGCTTGATCCTGTAGGAACGAATGGGTGAATAGATGCGCGCGCAGACAATTAGAGTGATGACCAGATGATTGACAGTTGAGAGGCGGGACCAAAGAGCCGAAGCGCAACCCCCGCAAGCACAACTAGAGTACACACACACACACACACACCACACACACACACACACACACACACACACACACACACACACACACACACACACACACACACACACACACACACACACACACACACACACACACACACACACACACACACACACACACACACACACACACACACACACACACACACACACACACACACACACACACACACACACACACACACACACACACACACACACACCACACACACACACACACACACACACACACACACACACACACACACACACACACACACACACACACACACACACACACACACACACACACACACCCACACCCACACACACACACACACACACACACACACACACACACACACACACACACACACACACACACACACACACACACACACACACACACACAGGGATCCAAGAGTCAATGCTCGATCCTGCAGACACAACTAGGTGAGTACACACACTCTGGGGGGGGGGGTCTCGTAGCCTGGTGGATAGCGCGCAGGACTCGTAATTCCGTGGCGCGGGTTCGATTCCCGCACGAGGCAGAAACAAATAGGCAAAGTTTCTTTCACCCTATCCCCCTGTTACCTAGCAGTAAAATAGGTACCTGGGAGTTAGTCAGCTGTCACGGGCTGCTTCCTGGGGGTGGAGGCCTGGTTGAGGACCGGGCCGCGGGGACACTAAAACCCCGAAATCATCTCAAGATAACCTCAAGATTGGCCAGGAGACATTGCATTAGACACCCAGCGGCTAGAAACGCCGGGTCCAGGAGCTAATACTTGACCCTCCAGGTATAAATAGGTCAGTGTCACAGACAACTGATCCATTATCAAAAAAAACAGACGAGGTCAGAGGTCAGTTGACACAGACCCGGTTGGAGAAGCATCATTTAACACTGACAGATAACTGGAATGATCACAATATCTGCCAGTCAGTAGCAGATAGCAGGCTGGATAGCAGGCTGGATAGCAGGCTGGATAGCAGGCTGGAGGGAGGAAGCAGGCTAAAGCAAGCAGGATAGAGAGATGGAGTCTCACAATATACGCCAGTCAGTAGCAGATAGCAGGCTGGATAGCAGGCTGGAGGGAGGAAGCAGGCTAAAGCAAGCAGGATAGAGAGATGGAGTCTCACAATATACGCCAGTCAGTAGCAGATAGCAGGCTGGATAGCAGGCTGGAGGGAGGAAGCAGGCTGGAGCAAGCAGGATAGAGAGATGGAGTCTCACAATATACGCCAGTCAGTAGCAGATAGCAGGCTGGATAGCAGGCTGGAGGGAGGAAGCAGGCTGGAGCAAGCAGGATAGAGAGATGGAGTCTCACTGCTCGTCAAACTGGACAGTAGTTATGGAAGAATCAGTTATTGAGGTGGATGCCAATTACACAATCTCGCTAGCACAATTTCAGCAGGAGAAACATAGGACGCAGCTATCATTCACAATCCCCAGGAAACATCCCCTCACCCACCAGGAAACTACAGAAAACTAACACAACAATACGAGAGCTCTTACAGGTATACTAGAGCTCTTACAGGTATACTAGAGTTCTTACAGGTATACTAGAGCTCTTACAGGTATACTAGAGCTCTCACAGGTATACTAGAGCTCTCACAGGTATACTAGAGCTCTCACAGGTATACTAGAGCTCTCACAGGTATTCTAGAGCTCTTACAGGTATACTGGAGCTCTTACAGGTATACTAGAGCTCTCACAGGTATACTAGAGCTCTCACAGGTATTCTAGAGCTCTTACAGGTATACTGGAGCTCTTATAGGTATACTAGAGCTCTTACAGGTATACTAGAGCTCTCATAGGTATGCTAGAGATCTCAGGAGCTCTATAGGGTATGCTAGGAACTCTGCGAAAGATTTCACATCTTTACGTTAGAAATCAGCGTGAAAAGCAAGATAGTAAGATGAAAGGCTAGAGGAAACACTGGATGACATTATAGCCACTACGGAAGAGGTGGACAGAATCCTAGGGAAGCTAGATGTAACAAAATCCATGTGTTTAGACCTAATCTCACCATGGCTTTAAAAATTTTAATAAAATATTTGAAACAGGAAATTTCCAAAATATCAGAAACGTAGTCAAAATTTTCACAAAAATTTATAAAAAGGAGGCATTATACTACAATGTCATTGACGAATATTCTTTGTAATTGGAGAAAGTAATTCCCTCGATAATAGTGGAGGATTTTGAGAGGTTCGAGTTTGTAATGTAAAATCAATATGGATTTAGAAATGGAAAGTCTTGCCTGACTAACTTGATTGGGTGTTATGACAAGTGTTCAATCACTTGAATGACCGTTAACGCTCTTGTTAGCATGGTCCCTTGTTTGAATACCAGTTAACATATATCCCAACTCTCGTGTATATATATATATATATATATATATATATATATATATATATATATATATATATATATATATATATATATATATATATATATATATATATATATATGCGAACAAGCCTGAATGGTCCCCAGGACAATATGCAACTGAAAACTCACACCCCAGAAGTGACTCGAACCCATACTCCCAGAAGCAACGCAACTGGTATGTACAAGACGCCTTAATCCATATATATATATATATATATATATATATATATATATATATATATATATATATATATATAAAGTGACTGAGCTTCCAAAAGTTATCTCAGTCATTCTTTTGACTCTCTGTTTGGTATTACATTTAATTTTTTTTGACATATTATTAATTTTTTTTTTTGAGATATATACAAGAGTTGTTACATTCTTGTAGAGCCACTAGTACGCGTAGCGTTTCGGGCAAGTCCTTAATCCTATGGTCCCTGGAATACGATCCCCTGCCGCGAAGAATCGTTTTTTCATCCAAGTACACATTTTACTGTTGCGTTAAACAGAGGCTACAGTTAAGGAATTGCGCCCAGTAAATCCTCCCCGGCCAGGATACGAACCCATGACATAGCGCTCGCGGAACGCCAGGCGAGTGTCTTACCACTGCACCACGGAGACTGTATTCGTAAACAAATTCTCCCTTAATTTGGTATTCTGCTTATAATCGGCTGTTGTGTTTTATCCATGTTTCTATACTAATAATAATTTTCTCTCTACACACAAAAGAACTTAGAATAATGTCTAAAATTTCTGCCGATTTTGGACTCTGATGTTAGATCTGAAAAACAGAATTTTTCTTAAGTTTATATCAGTTTTCAAACCTTTTCATCCTGGTTGTCATATATACACAACATAGTCCCTGCTGGCATACACCAATACTATCTTCCCCGCTAAATACACACTCATACATCATCTTCAAATTTCAACAAGCACCAAAAATTGAAAAGCTTTTATGGAAAAAGGAAAATGGAGTTACTCTCGCCCTTTACAAATGGGACATCATCCCCTGTGATTATTCATGTTCCCAGAGTTGATGGTTCTAATCTAGTTGTGCTTGTGGGGGTTGAGCTCTGGCTCTTTGGGCCCGCCTCTCAACTGTCAATCAATCTTTTGTGTGTGTGGTTGTGGTAGAGAGAGAGTGTGTGTGTGTGTGTGGTAGTGTGTGTGTGTGTGTGTGTGGTTGTGGTAGAGAGAGTGTGTGTGTGTGTGTGTGGTAGTGTGTGTGTGTGTGTGTGTGGTAGTGTGTGTGTGTGTGTGTGTGGTAGTGTGTGTGTGTGTGTGTGTGTGTGTGGTAGTGTGTGTGTGTGTATGTGTGGTAGTGTGTGTGTGTGTGTGTGTGGTAGTGTGTGTGTGTGTGTGTGTGGTAGTGTGTGTGTGTGTGTGTGTGTGTGTGTGTGTGTGTGTGTGTGGTAGTGTGTGTGTGTGTGTGTGTGTGTAGTAGATTGACATGACAACTATGACAACAGCCAGAAATTAGACCAGATTCAGAAAGTTGTTGATACCATTGAGGTCTATAACAATGCGGACGTAACAGTAGCATGCTCTATCAGCCCACCTATCATGTATCCTAATTACCCCCAATTAGCGCCCCCAAGGTAGTCGAAGCCAGGAGCAAAGTAGAGCAACATGGCCGACTTCTAATTCCACATAACACCTGTAATTAGACTTAGTATTTCAAGCTTTATGTTGACTTAAAGGCTTTGTGAAGGTGGTGAACAGGTACCAGGGATCTTACGACCAGCTGCTGATACGGTCTCTGTTCGCAGGTCTACGGATACGGATCTTCAACCTTCTGATCAAGCTGTTGACCTGCATTCTCTACATCGTCAGAGTCTTCATTGATGATGACCCAATTCGCGCTAACTGGTGAGTTGTTAGTACTATTCATCACCCATTATTGGGGTCCCATTCTCTCGTTCTACGCCTATTATTGGGGTCCAATGGCTCGTCCTACGCCTATTATTGGGGTCCCATTCTCTCGTTCTACGCCTATTATTGGGGTCCAATGGCTCGTCCTACACCCATTATTTGGGTCCCATTGTCACGGCCTACGCCTATTATTGGGGTCCCATTCTCTCGTTCTACGCCTATTATTGGGGTCCAATGGCTCGTCCTACACCCATTATTGGGGTCCCATTGTCTCGTCCTACACCCATTATTGTGGTCCCATTGTCTCGTTCTACGCCTATTATTGGGGTCCCATTGTCACGGCCTACGCCTATTATTGGGGTCCAATGGCTCGTCCTACACCCATTATTGGGGTCCCATTGTCTCGTCCTACACCCATTATTGTGGTCCCATTGTCTCGTTCTACGCCTATTATTGGGGTCCCATTGTCTCGTCCTACGCCTATTATTGGGGTCCAATGGCTCGTTCTACGCCTATTATTGGGGTCCCATTGTCTCGTCCTACGCCTATTATTGGGGTCCAATGGCTCGTTCTACGCCTATTATTGGGGTCCAATTGTCACGACCTACGCCTATTATTGGGGTCCCATTGTCACGACCTACGCCTATTATTGTGGTCCATTGTCTTCGGTTCGCAATCGAGGGACCCGGGTTCAATGCTCTATCAGAGACAGAAACGGTTAGGCAACTTACCTTTCACCTGATAATCTTCGTTCATCTAGGGGGAGCAGTACTCAGCATTGCCTCCTTAAGATAACCACTATGATATCGTGAGGATTAAAGGCTCGTGAAGTTCAATGTTGTCTTCCGATATCTAAGCCAAAACGGCTTCGACCACCGCGAGAGGTGGAATGTAATATCCTCGAACTCTGGGGATTCTTTCGCGGTCTGGCTTCCCCTTGAATTGCTCATGGTATTGTCAGAAAAACATTCAATGGAGCTGGGACTGACACCCAGGACCCCCAGAGTCACGGGATATGTCCCAGGAGCTGGGACTGACACCCAGGACCCCCAGAGTCACGGGATATGTCCCAGGAGCTGGGACTGACACCCAGGACCCCCAGAGTCACGGGATATGTCCCAGGAGCTGGGACTGACACCCAGGACCCCCAGAGTCACGGGATATGTCCCAGGAGCTGGGACTGACACCCAGGACCCCCCAGAGTCACGGGATATGTCCCAGGAGCTGGGACTGACACCCAGGACCCCCAGAGTCACGGGATATGTCCCAGGAGCTGGGACTGACACCCAGGACCCCCCAGAGTCACGGGATATGTCCCAGGAGCTGGGACTGACACCCAGGACCCCCCAGAGTCAGTGGGATATGTTCCAGGAGCTGGGACTGACACCCAGGACCTCCAGAATCAGTGGGATATGTCCCAGGAGCTGGGACTGACACCCAGGACCCCCAGAGTCAGTGGGATATGTCCCAGGAGCTGGGACTGACACCCAGGACCCCCAGAGTCAGTGGGATATGTCCCAGGAGCTGGGACTGACACCCAGGACCTCCAGAATCAGTGGGATATGTCCCAGGAGCTGGGACTGACACCCAGGACCCCCAGAGTCAGTGGGATATGTCCCAGGAGCTGGGACTGACACCCAGGACCCCCAGAGTCAGTGGGATATGTCCCAGGAGCTGGGACTAACTCCCAGGCCGTAGTGGACTTACCTGGCACAGGAGCGGGGCAAGTAGCACGGGCTATGGTGAGCCCGTAGTGGACTTACCTGGCACAGGAGCGGGGCAAGTAGCACGGGCTATGGTGATCCCGTAGTGGACTTACCTGGTACAGGAGCGGGGCAAGTAGCACGGACTATGGTGAGCCCGTAGTGGACTTACCTGGCACAGGAGCGGGGCCAGTAGCACGGGCTATGGTGATCCCGTAGCCTCTACTGCCTACCCAGAGTTGGTCCCTACTTCTCTACCTTCATGAGAAGCTTGTGAGAGAGCGTGCGTGCGTGCGTGCGCAGTGTCGAGCACCACACGCCAGATAGGCAAGAGATACATCACGGTAGCCGGGGACAACCTCTCTGCCACGCCTATCCTGCCGTCCTGGTCGTCTCCACTATCCTGGAGATGACTATCCTTATCCTGCCTTTATCCTGAAGATAATGCTTCTTATCCTGGCTTTATCCCTTATTCTGGAGATAACCTTCCTTATTTTGGCTTTATCCTGGAGATAACTGAGATAACTATCCTTATCCTGCCTTTATCCTGGAGATAATGCTTCTTATCCTGGCTTTATCCTGGAGATGGTGCTCCTTATCCTGGATTTATCCTGGAGATAACTATCCTTATCCTGGCTTTATCCTGGAGATAACTATTCTTATCCTGGCTTTATTCTGGAGATAACTATCCTTATCCTGGCTTTATCCTGGAGATAATGCTCCTTATCCTGGCTTTATCCTGGAGATGGTGCTCCTTATCCTGGCTTTATCCTGGAGATGGTGCTCCTTATCCTGGCTTTATCCTGGAGATAATGCTCCTTATCCTGGCTTTATCCTGGAGATGGTGCTCCTTATCCTGGCTTTACTCTGGAGATGGTGCTCCTTATCCTGGCTTTATCCTGGAGATAATGCTCCTTATCCTGGCTTTATCCTGGAGATGGTGCTCCTTATCCTGGCTTTACTCTGGAGATGGTGCTCCTTATCCTGACTTTACTCTGGAGATGGTGCTCCTTATCCTGGCTTTATCCTGGAGATAATGCTCCTTATCCTGCCTTTATCCTGGAGATGGTGCTCCTTATCCTGGCTTTACTCTGGAGATGGTGCTCCTTATCCTGACTTTACTCTGGAGATGGTGCTCCTTATCCTGGCTTTATCCTGGAGATAATGCTCCTTATCCTGGCTTTATCCTGGAGATGGTGCTCCTTATCCTGGCTTTACTCTGGAGATGGTGCTCCTTATCCTGGCTTTATCCTGGAGATAATGCTCCTTATCCTGGCTTTATCCTGGAGATGGTGCTCCTTATCCTGGCTTTACTCTGGAGATGGTGCTCCTTATCCTGACTTTACTCTGGAGATGGTGCTCCTTATCCTGGCTTTATCCTGGAGATAATGCTCCTTATCCTGGCTTTACTCTGGAGATAATGCTCCTTATCCTGGCTTTACTCTGGAGATAATGCTCCTTATCCTGGCTTTATCCTGGAGGTATTTTTATGGCCCGTATTTCAAGCTTCGCGTCGAGTACACTAATGTCGGTTGTATTATGTAGGCAAAGTACATAGCTGTGAGATTCCTCAGTTATAACATAAGTAATTCAGTGTTGCATCAGTCAGGAGACCTGGGCCCAGATTCACGAAAGCACTTACGAACGTGCACATCTTTCCTCGATCTTTGACGGCTTTGGTTACATTTATTAAACAGTTTACAAGCATGAAAACTTGCCAATCAACTGTTGTTATTGTTATAAACAGCCTCCTGGTGCTTCGGAGCTCATTAACTGTTTAATAAACGGAAACAAAGCCGCCAAAGATTGAGAAAAGATGTACAGGTTCGTAAGTGCTTTCGTGAATCTGGCCCCTGGTCGAGGACCGGGCCGCGGGGACGCTAAGCCCCGAAATGATCTCAAGGTGAGGCAAGGTAGTTGGTGCTACTATTTGCTGGTTTAAAGCAAATCCATCACACATCTGTAAGAACTTAATTGTCTGTTCATTCAACCTGTTTCCTGTGGTTCTCTCTGATTCAGTAACAATATTTGCCACTTTTTCAATTTTAGAATCTATAAGTTGATATAATCATTGAAGATAATGTTAAGGGCAAGGTTTGTGAGGTTTTCTAAGCAGTATTCTATTTCCATAAGTTGGTCTTTGAACTGCTGAGACATTTAAACTGCTCAACTGCATTTAGAATTTCTAGTTTGATTATCAGCACTTCCACAATATCATTTGACATCATATCTATCATCATATCTCTGAGTACAGGCTGACCCCATCCTGTAGCCTGTATTTCCTGCTACATCTGAACGATTGCTCTGCTGGTGGATAGATTGTTTAACACGGGTGGTACTCACGCGAGGGGGCACAGGTGGATACGAAGTACCCAAACTAGTCAGAAAGGCATTAGAATTGTTTTTTTCTGTGTCATAGTAGTTAGTAAATGGAATGCACTAGGAAGTAATGTGGTGGAGGCTGACTTCATATTTGGCTTCAAGTGTAAATATGATAGAGCCCAATAGGCTCAGGAACCTGTACACCTGTTGACTGGCAGTCGAGAGGCAGGACCAAAGAGCCGAAGCTCAACCCCTGCAAAGCACACCTAGGTCCACACACACACACACACACACACACACACACACACACACACACACACACACACACACACACACACACACACACACACACACACACACACACTCGCAAACAGAGTGGTAGACGGTTGGAACAAGTTAAGTGAGAAGGTGGTGGAGGCCAAGACCGTCAGTAGTTTCAAAGCGTTATATAACAAAGAGTGCTGGGAAGACGGGACACCACGAGCGTAGCTCTCATCCTGTAACTACACTTAGGTAATTACTTAAGACAATCACACACACACAACCATTGTAACCACCATTCCACCCACAGCTACGAGTGCTCAGAGAACACAGAAGCCGTTAGCTTCTTCCTGGACTATGGGAACAAGACAGACGAGCAGTTCCAGGAGAAACCCATCATTAACTGGCAAGCGGTGCTGTGGGTCAACAGAACCTTACCTCTGTGGGCACTCCAGGTGGCTGTGGCCCTCGTCTCTCTCTCTGAAGCTCTTCTGCTGGCATACCTCAGTTATAAGGTAAGGTAACTGCTGCTGGCATACCTCAGTTATAAGGTAAGATACTGCTACTGGCATACCTCAGTTATAAGGTAAGGTAACTGCTGCTGGCATACCTCAGTTATAAGGTAAGATACTGCTACTGGCATACCTCAGTTATAAGGTAAGATATTGCTACTGGCATACCTCAGTTATAAGGTAAGATACTGCTACTGGCATACCTCAGTTATAAGGTAAGATACTGCTACTGGCATACCTCAGTTACAAGGTAACTGCTACTTGCTTATCTCAGCTACAAGATAAGATACTGCTACTGGCATACCTCAGTTATAAGGTAAGATATTGCTACTGGCATACCTCAGTTACAAGGTAAGATACTGCTACATGTATACCTCAGTTACAAGGTAAGATACTGCTACTGGCATACCTCAGTTACAAGGTAAGATACTGCTACTTGTATACCTCAGTTACAAGGTAAGATACTGCTACTGGCATACCTCAGTTACAAGGTAAGATACTGCTACTTGTATACCTCAGTTACAAGGTAAGATACTGCTACTGGCATACCTCAGTTACAAGGTAAGATACTGCTACTGGCATACCTCAGTTACAAGGTAAGATACTGCTACTTGTATACCTCAGTTACAAGGTAAGATACTGCTACTTGTATAGTTACAAGGTAACTGCTACTTGTTCACTGGGGTTATTGGTTAAGTCCAAGGGGGGACTCGGTAATGGATTGCTTCTCAAGCCTCAAATGGGGAATTCTGGGCGAGACAGAAGTGGTTAGGCATGTTTTCTTTCACCTAGTGTATCTGTTCACCTAGTAGTAAACAGGTACCCAGGAGTTAGTCAGCTTTTTGTGGGGTTGCATCCTGAGGGAGGGATTCGACCTTGGTTGGGATGGGTACCTCGATATAAGCCTAACACGTATGTATACACTCTGTCTGCCTGTCCCCCCAATACAATGAATTAGTATTATTAAGTTTAGTATTATCAGTAGTATTATCAGTATTATCAACGTGTCAGGTGTACAGGGCAAATACCTGAGTCTCGCTACAGGTAATACCAGGTGTGTAGAAGCCATCGTTCTTGGCCGAGGCAACAGGTGTCCCTCGTAACGATCGTTATCGCTGCTCAAACGACGTAATTGCTTGCGAGGACTCTTTGTTGCACATGTAATTAAACCCAAGGTGTTAGCAAGACGAAACACTTAATCCTGAGTAATAGTGGCGTCTGTCACGCCCACTCGACACTATGTGAGTGTACAAAAGTGATAATATTTACAGTTGACCAGACCACACACTAGAAGGTGAAGGGACGACGACGTTTCGGTCCGCCCTGGACCATTCTCAAGTTGATTGTGTGACCACACACTAGAAGGTGAAGGGACGACGACGTTTCGGTCCGTCCTGGACCATTCTCAAGTTGATTGTGTGACCACACACTAGAAGGTGAAGGGACGACGACGTTTCGGTCCGTCCTGGACCATTCTCAAGTCGATTGTGTGACCACACACTAGAAGGTGAAGGGACGACGACGTTTCGGTCCGTCCTGGACCATTCTCAAGTCGACTTGAGAATGTTCCACAATCGACTTGAGAATGGTCCAGGACGGAGCGAAACGTCGTCGTCGCTTCACCTTCTAGTGTGTGGTCCTCAAGACGTCTCCGGATGCCACATTTCCAGCATTTCCATCGATGCTTTGAATGTTGTTGTTTAAGATTCGCTACCCGGAACAAAACGTTCCAAGTAGCACGGGCTATGGTGATCCCGTGATCCTTTGAAAGTGTTGAGATCGTAGAGAGTAACGCAAGTGGGTGGAGGCTTGAGGGGCATTATATAGTTTCAAATAAGTCATTATAATAAGTTGCTTAATTTTTCTTCTTAAGATCAATGTTGCTAATGAGAATCTGTTTCTTTTTCAGGGAAATATATGGCAGACTCTGAGATCATTCCATTTTCTTCTAGAATTAATGAACACTATACCTTTTATATTGACGGTAAGTTGATAAAACTTTGTGTGTGTGTGTGTGTGTGTGTGTGTGTGTGTGTGTGTGTGTGTGTGTGTGTGTGTGTGTGTGTGTGTGTGTGTGTGTGTGTGTGTGTGTGTGTGTGTGTGTGTGTGTGTGTGTGTGTGTGTGTGTGTGTGTGTGTGTGTGTGTGTGTGTGTGTGTGTGTGTGTGTGTATGTGAGTGTGTGTGTGTGTGTGTGTGTGTGTGTGTGTGTGTGTGTGTGTGTGTGTGTGTGTGTGTGTGTGTGTGAGTGTGTATATGTGTGTGTGTGTGTGTGTGTGTGTTATGTATTTAAATGGTGTATATGGGATTCACAGACAGTAGACTCAGAGTCCCAGTAGTAGACTTACAATCTCAGTAGTAGATTCAGACCTTTAGCACAGTGGGCTACAGCCTCGCTTCACAACCGATGGACTTGTGTTTAGTCCCGGGTGACAACAGAATCGTTTGAATACTTTCACCTGATGCCTCTGTTCACCTAGCAGTCAGTGGATACCCAGGAGTTAGGCATCTGTTTTGGGTTGCATTCTGGGAATGGTTAGTAGTTGGTCTAAGGGAGAACCTTATCAAGACCTCGATAAGGTCAGGATATCTTGAGGTTATCTTGAGATGATTTCGGGGTTTAGTGTCCCCGCGGCCCGGTCCTCGACCAGGCCTCCTTTTTGTTACACATCCCTCAGGAAGCAGCCCGTAGCAGCTGTCTAACTCCCAGGTACCTATTTACTGCTAGGTGAACATAAGTATCAGGATCAAAGAAACTCTGCCCATGTGTTTCCGCCTCCGGCGGGCATCGAACCCGGAACCTCAGGACACGAATCCGAAGCACTATCCACTCAGCTGTCAGGCCCTGTCAGCTAGCTTGCACTAAACACACACACACTTAAAACTAGTATATATATGTCCGTGTGTGTGTTTGTGTAAGCCTGTGGGTGTAGAGGAGACCTGCAGGACCCCATCAACACCCACGTCGCTCACCCGTAGGGGTGGGACATGTGCACGGCATAGATAGTAGCACTGAGAGGCTCAGTGTAGAAGGGGCGAGGACGTGAGGGATTTACAGATTCCGAGTGAGAGAAGGGGACAGAGGGGCAAGGATCAGAGGGTATAAGCATCAAATGAGGGGAATACCGAGGGGACAGGGATGTGGAGTATGAAGAGAATATGTAAACAATTGGAGCGTGGAGATTGAGCTCGGACTCGCATGGAGACGATTCACTGTCTATATCGACGTGGCCACGTAGTCTCGCTGGAACACGTCAGGACTGCCCTGGGAGCCTGTCGGCCGAGCGGACAGCACGCTGGACTTGTGATCCTGTGGTCCTGGGTTCGATCCCAGGTGCCGGAGAGAAACTATGGGAAGAGTTTCTTTCACCCTATGTCCCTGTTACCTAGCAGTAAAATAGGTACCTGGGTATTAGTCAGCTGTCACGGGCTGCTTCCTGGGGGTGGAGGCCTGGTCGAGGACCGGGCCGCGGGGACACTAAAGCCCCGAAATCATCTCAAGATAACTGACTCTTGGTGCCCAAGATAACCTTCATTAGCAAGACAGAAACTACACAGGGATAACATATGATGACAGCCTTTCACCACAGAAAATGTGGTCGGGTGCACTCGATAGATGGCGTCGATATCGTCACATTGGGGGCGAGTAGGTCGCTATTGTACTCTATGGATGAATCGCCATCTTGTCTGCTAAATAAGTATAAAAACTGCACTAAGTAAAAACTAAGTCAGTATTTGACTTATAGCTTGAGCTGAGAATGGGATGATGCATATTATGAACGTCAGTAATCATGCTGGAAAAAGGGAACATTACCAGGGGCCAGATTCACGAAAGCACTTGCGCAAACACTTACGAACCTGTACATTTTTTCTCAATCTTTGGCGGCTTTGTTTACAATTATTAAACAGTTAATGAGCTCCGAAGCACCAGGAGGCTGTTTATAACAATAACAACAGTTGATTGGCAAGTTTTCACGCTTGTAAACTGTTTAATAAATGTAACCAAAGCCGTCAAAGATTGAGGAAAGATGTACAGGTTCGTAAGTGCTTGCGTAACTGCTTCGTGAATCTGGCCCCAGGTTCGTAAGTGCTTGCGTAAGTGCTTTCGTGAATCTGGCCCCTGGTTTGTATATGTGCCTTTTTCATCGATAAAACCTCTCCCTTATTTTGTAATACATTTTTTGAGGATGTTAAACAGTATGTGTGACTTGATGTGTGATTTGATGTGTCTTCCCTTTTCAGATATGCTGGTCGCCGCTCAGGAACCTATTCGTGCCTGTCTTCCTCAATTGCTGGCTAGCCAAACATGCTCTCGAAAATATGTTCGTAAGTACACAGCTTTCCCTTACATGTCTCTGGTATTTCTAGTCGCTGGAGGGGTCGTAGCTAGTGTACTCAAGCATGCACACCCTTACTGCCTTCTGTGTGTTGTAACTGTGGCGACATGAGCCAGAATGACATGACTTTGGCCATACTGGGTCACTAGTGAACTGTTACGGGTCGTGTGGTGGTGGTGATGTTATCTTGAGATGTTTATCTCTGATTTTGTCAGTGTGTCAGCGGCTCCGTTGTCACACGACGATCTGCTTGTCCAACTTTCTGTTCATTTTCTCCTGCTGACATTGTTCTATGGCCTATTTCTTCCTGCTGACACTGCTCTATGGCCCATTTTCTCCTGCTGACACTGTTCCATGGCCCATTTTCTCCTGCTGACACTGTTCCATGGCCCATTTTCTCCTGCTGACACTGTTCCATGGCCCATTTTCTCCTGCTGACACTGTTCCATGGCCCATTTTCTCCTGCTGACACTGTTCCATGGCCCATTTTCTCCTGCTGACACTGTTCCATGGCCCATTTTCTCCTGCTGACACTGTTCCATGGCCCATTTTCTCCTGCTGACACTGCTCCATGGCCCATTTCTTCCTGCTGACACTGTTCCATGACCCATTTTCTCCTGCTGACACTGCTCCACGACCCATTTTCTCCTGCTGACACTGCTTGCTTCTTAAGTGTGTTTACATATATTAGGAACAGGATGGGCCCCAAGCACTGACCCTTGAGGCACTCCACTCATCACCTCTATTCTGATAACTCTCATCTTACTTTGACTCTTTGCCTTCGTCTCCGTGAAAGATAATCTTTCACCCACTTTAGTGCATTTCCCAATACACCAACTTATTTTTCAGAGTTTGCATAGTAGTTGCTTGTGAGGAAGAGTGGGAAATCTTTCTGGCAATCTAGGAAAATGCAGGCAGCCCAGGCCTTCTGTTAAGCTCTGGGAGACTCGAACTGCGGACCCAACGCGCGTCAGACCGAAGCCCTATCGACTGAGTTATTGAGTAGTCTTAATTAGTAAATATGCTCAGTCCTCTCCTGTTTGTTGTCACATTTAGCTCTTGGGTTGATCAAACAAGATTTTTCTTTGCTGAATCCACGTTGATCCTTGGAAATTAAAGTTGTTGTAAATGATCGACGAGACTTCTTTTGATTAATCTCTAATATCTAACGGGGAATACTTGTTAGTTATTACGGTCTGTAGTTTAGTATTTCTCATCTCCTCGTATATAGGTACCGCTATTTACCACGCTTCAAATGTCATGAAGTTAACCCATTTTCAGTGAGGACTTGTAGACTATAGCAAGGGTACACACAGTGCTGTAGCTGCCTCTTTCAGGATCCATGGTGATATCTTGTCAGGGCCTGGGCCTTTCATTACCTCCAGCTCCTCCAATTGTTTCCTAATTCCTCTAGTGTTCTAATTTCAGTTGACCAGACCACACACTAGAAGGTGAAGGGACGACGACGTTTCGGTCCGTCCTGGACCATTCTCAAGTCGATTGAAAAGTCTTTCTTGAAGACTTCTGAGAAGTCGATCGAGAAGTTTGAATTTCAGTCTTTCATTTGATTAGAAATCATAGCTCTGGGGAACAGTTTTTTTCATTCTTAAACTTGGCAGTTTTTATTGAGTTCTTCACACATTTCATTATTCTTTGTACTGCCACCTTCTCTTTTGCGTAACCTGATTATTTGTTCATGTACCAACATTTTCATGTGACTATATAGTAGTTTAGGCTGAGCCTTAGCCTTGGTTGCTATATCTTTCATGTGCGCTGTCTTCTGCATACTGCTGTCTGCTGCAATCTGGCTGTCCGCTTGCACTCTGGCTGTCCGCTTGCACTCTGGCTGTGGTATAGGAGTTTTACCTCAAATGCTTCTCTTCAAACGCAAAAAAAAATCACATTAACGTAATGTATTGATGAGAAAATTGGTACAAGTCATGATGATGATTCGAACCTCACATCTTGTGGCAGAGTTGTTTAGCGTGTGCTTGGGAGTACCCAGTGTGCAGGTTCTCATCCCCCCATCATGGCTTCTACTCATTTTCTCATAGTCCGCAATATTAGTATCCTCCGCTGCAGTGATATCTAACCTGTCGTCTCTTTAGTCCAGCAGTGCCACTCGCCCCCTCCTCTCCCCCCCTCTGCTTTCTTACTCTTCATATCTGGTACTGTCTAAAGAATATTGCATTAGTGATCTGTTATTGCAATTATAATTCGGTTTGTTGCAGCAGGCCTGTTCTTTTAATTCATTTGCTTTAATATTCCATCAGCATTTGTGTACCAGATTTTTATCTCTTCATTGATACTCTGTTCGGAGGGAAAGGAGCTTGTAGGTTGGGAATAGGCTATTGATATTAGGAATTAATGAGGTACAGAAATAATAGTTATGGGGTTGAGAGAGAGAGAGGGAGGGATAGGTGGAATGAAAGATTGGTGTTAATTTGTTAGGTTTGGCTCGGGAAAAGATAAAGGTGTAAAGCTTGGGTTGTCGACACTGACACCCTAGTGGTTGTAACTGTATGCCTCCCTGGGTGTTCTTATTGTAAGCTATCGGACACCTGCTCCGATATTATCTAATCATGGCGTTACTTTGAACTCGTTGCTCCCTTAGGCTGCTGAGAAGTAGTGTGGGTTTCTTGCTCCTATAGGCCTCTTCTCTCTCTCCCTCTTCCTTATTCTTTCCCTGCACTGCTCTGTCTTTCTCTTGACTTCGTCTTGATTCTTGACATACTCAAGGTATACTTTCTGTATTTCTCAAGTTACCTTTTTATTTCGTCGGGATACTTGGTACCATTGAGTTTACAAATACCAGTTTTAGTGGTCTGATTCTTCTAGGTTGTGCTTTGGCATATGAACCCAGTCTGTAAATTTCTATTAAATCTTTCTCAGCTTCAAACAGGCTTAGTCTAGGGATGTGTCAGGCTGTATTTACTTTCTTCATGCAAACTTTGTCTTGCTTTCTTTACACCTGAAAGACTTTTACCTTCCAGGTGTGTGTGTGTGTGATTTAATCTTTGTTTTTCAGGATGCCTAATGATTCTGTTACTCTGGTAGGCAGTGTCGCCAGAATGTGTTATACTGTGGAGCTGCGACACACTGTACGACAGTAGAGCCGCGACCCACTGTATGGCAGTGTGGAGCTGCAACACACTGTACGACAGTGTGGAGCTGCGATACGCTGTACGGCAGTGTGAAGCTACGACCCGCTGTACGGCAGTGTGAAGCCGCGACACTGTACGGCAGTGTGGAGCTGTGACACGCTGTACGGCAGAGTGGAGCTGCGACACACCGTACGTCAGTGTGGAGCCGCGACACACTGTACGTCAGTGTGGAGCTGCGACCCGCTGTACGGCAGTGTGAAGCCGTGACACTGTACGGCAGTGTGGAGCTGTGACACGCTGTACGGCAGTGTGAAGCTGCGACACACTGTACGGCAGTGTGGGGCCGCGACACACTGTACGGCAGTGTGGACCTGCGACCCGCTGTACGGCAGTGTGAAGCCGCGACACTGTACGGCAGTCTGGAGCTGCGACACACCGTACGTCAGTGTGGAGCCGCGACACACTGTACGTCAGTGTGGAGCTGCGACACTCTGTACGGCAGTGTGGGGCCGCGACACACCGTACATCAGTGCGGAGCCGCAACACTCTGTACGGCAGTGTGTCGCTGCAACACACCGTACGACAGTATGGAGCTGTGACACACTGTACGTCAGTGTGGGGCCGCGACACACCGTACGACAGTGTGGAGCTGTGACACACTGTACATCAGTGTGGAGCCGCGACACTGTACGACAGTGTGTCGCTGCAACACACTGCCGTACGGTGTGTCGCAGCTCCACACTGCGGTAGTGTTTCTCCAACTGAGTGTGATCTTTTTCTTATAGGATTATATAAATAGTTGGAGAATGGCGCAGTACTCCAGTGCGCGCCGCGCCGTCCAGCGCCGCTACCCCAGCCACCCCGTCAGGGTCGGTCCGTCTGTCTATCAGTCTCCTGCCTGTCTATGCTCTGGCTTTATCTCACTCTCTGCTCCGTAGATTACACACAAGATCACCGCACACACTTGCTGTTATGATTCTTGTTTTACGCATCAAAGGCAGATTGAAAATGCATACATAACTACGTTTTATTCTCAATTTGGCTGATTTTAACTGGCCGAGTGAGCTTTCTAAGGGGTACTCGGGTGTGAGATTGTGTCTTGGAGACGCCAGCACCAAACCTGAATCCTCACCCACCCTAGCCTATCACAGCTTAATGGGGTCTCTCCTCTACTCACCTTTATCCATCCACTCATATTCCTCACACCTTCCCCAGGTCGGGATTGTTACTATCTGGCACTCCTTCCATTATCCCACCTGTTTACCCTACTTCATCCTTTCTTTCTTTTCTATATTCTGACTATTCTGCTTTGAAGGCTGACTGTTTTGCTTTGAAGGCTGACTATCCTGCTTTGAGCACACGCCAGGAGAGAGATATTCCTTGAGTCTGTCGTTCTGTGTCTTGTGTTCTGAGTCACTTGGTTTATGGTTGAAGCCGTAAATGCCGTAAAGTTTACGGTCGAAGCCGTAAATGCCGTAAAGTTTACGGTCGAAGCCATAAATGCCGTAAAGTTTCCGGTCGAAGCCGTAAACTATTAACTTTTAAATTTCAACTGGGAAAGATCAAGGCAATTGGAAGGGAGAGTGGGGGGTGGAACCTTCGATAAGCCGCCGGCTTCCTGTCCTCGTCGAGACCACTAGTGCTAGCGGCTCTCTGGGCAAACTCGGGTAATCGGGTAAACTTACTGGGAGTATATTCCTGTGGGGCATTAGATCTGAGTAACTTACATAATCACCCATGGAAATGCCTACAGCCACTCTACATGATCACAGTCAAGAGTATAGTCGCCTACATCTCTCATGCAACATTTGGGTACCGGCCGAGCGGGCATCCGGACGCCCGGCCATCCGGACGCTCGGCCATCCGGACGCGTGGGCATCCGGAC